GTTTTTGGGTTTTTTTGGGGTGTTTTTTGGGGTTTCAGCCGCGCCTCCCCCAGGACGGAGCCGCCCCGGCCGCGCTGCGCTCGGACTCGTCCCCGAACGGCTCCGACCCCGAGAGGAGGTACCGACCAAAATCCGGAACATTCCGGGATTGACGAGGGAACATTCCGGGATTGATGAGGGAATATTCCGGGATTGATGAGGGAACATTCCGGGATTGACGAGGGAATATTCCGGGATTGATGAGGGAATATTCCGGGATTGATGAGGGAACATTCCGGGATTGATGAGGGAATATTCCGGGATTGATGAGGGAACATTCCGGGATTGACGAGGGAATATTCCGGGATTGATGGAATATTCCGGGTTTGATGATGGAATATTCCGGGATTGACGAGGGAACATTCCGGGATTGACGAGGGAATATTCCGGGATTGACGAGGGAATATTCCGGGATTGACGAGGGAATATTCCGGGATTGACAAGGGAATATTCCGGGATTGACGAGGGAATATTCCGGGATTGACGAGGGAATATTCCGGGATTGACGAGGGAATATTCCAGGTTAAAGGAACATTCCAGGTTAAAGGAATATTCCGGGATTGACGAGGGAACATTCCGGGATTGATGAGGGAATATTCTGGGATTGACGAGGGAATATTCCGGATTTGACGGAATATTCCGGGTTTGATGATGGAATATTCCGGGATTGATGGAATATTCCAGGTTTGAGGGAATATTCCGGGTTTGATGATGGAATATTCCGGGTTTGATGATGGAATATTCCGGGATTGAGGGAATATTCCGGGATTGATGAGGGAATATTCCAGGTTTGACGGAATATTCCGGGTTTGATGGAATATTCCAGGTTTGAGGGAATATTCCGGGTTTAATGGAATATTCCGGGTTTAATGGAATATTCCGGGTTTGACGGAATATTCCGGGTTTGATGGAATATTCTGGGTTTGACGGAATATTCCGGGTTTGAGGGAATATTCCGGGTTTTACAGCGCGGGGAACGAGGGAAAAATAGATGTGAAAAATAGATGAAAATGTGTTAAAATACAGGAAAAATGGATGAAAAATATATAGGAATAAAATATTAGCATGTGAAAAATAGATATGAAATATATATATAAAAATAGGAAAAATGCCAAAAATATAATAATGTATGAGCAGTCTACCAAATCCTTTAATATGGGAAAAATAGATGTGAAAAATATATTAAAATACAGGAAAAACAGATGAAAAATATACAGGAATAAAATAGGAATGTGTGAAAAATATATACCAAAAAAAAATTTATATATATTAAAAATAGGAAAAATGCCAAAAAGAGAATAATGTATGGACAGTCTACCAAATCCTTTAATATGTGAAAAATAGATGAAAATATGTTAAAATAAAGGAAAAACGGATGAAAAATATATAGGAATAAAATATTAGTATGTGAAAAATAGATAAGAAATACATTCTATTTTTGGCATTTTTCTTATTTTTAAATATATACATGAGCAGTCTACCAAATCCTTTGATATGGGAAAAACAGATGTGAAAAATAGATGAAAATACAGGAAAAACAGATGAAAAATATACAGGAATAAAATATGAATGTGTGAAAAATATATGCAAAAAAAAAAAAAAAAAAATGTATAATATATATTTTATATATATATTAAAAATAGGAAAAATGCCAAAAATATAATAATGTATGAGCAGTCTACCAAATATGTTAATATAGGAAAAATAGATGTGAAAAATATACTAAAATATACAGGAATAAAATATGAATGTGTGAAAAATACATAAGAAATCAATATATTAAAAATATATAGGGAAAAAAGGAAAATATATAGACAATATAAAGAAAAAATACGAAAATATATAGAAAATATGTAGGAAAAATATAGGAATAATATATGAATTGTATAGGAAAAATTTATTTAAAATATATATGGAAAATATACATAAAACATATAGAAATAATATATTAAAAATATACATGGAAAATATCTGAAAATTCTATAGGAATAATATATGAATACATGAAAAAATATATGAAATACACATGAAAAATATATGGAAAATATATATGGAATATATATGGAAAATATATGGAATATATACAGAAATAATATATTTTAAAAATAGAAAATGCATGGAAAATACATGAAAATTCTATAGGAATAATATATGAATACATGCAAAAATATTTGAAACACACATGAACATATATGGAAAATATATATGGAAAATAATATATATGGAATATATACAGAAGTCATATATTTTAAAAATGGAAAATACATGGAAAAAAGATTAAAAATCTATAGGAAAAATATATGAATATCTGAAAAAATACATGAAATATATATATGGAAAATAGATGAAAATTCGATAGGAATAATATATGAATATATGAAAATTCGATAGGAATAATATATGAAAATTATATGGGAATAATAGATGAAAATTCTATAGGAATAATATATTAAAATTCTATAGGAATAATGTATGAAAATTTAATAGGAATGATATATGAATATCTGAAAAAACAGATTAAATATATATGGAAAATCGATGAAAATTCGATAGGAATAATATATTAATATTTGAAAATTCTATAGGAATAATGCATGGAAATTCTACAGGAATAATACATGAATAGATTAAAATTCTATAGGAATAATACATGAAAATGATATAGGAATAATATCTGAAAATTCTATAGCAATAATATCTGAAAATTCAATAGGAATAATATATGAATATCTGAAAAAAATACATGAAATATATATGGAAATTAGAAGAAAATTCGATAGGAATAATATATGAATATATGACAATTTAATAGGAATAATACATGAAAATTCGATAGGAATAATATATGAATATCTGAAAAAATACATGAAATATATATATGGAAAATAGACGAAAATTTGATAGGAATAATATATGAATATATGAAAATTATATAGGAATAATATCTGAAACTTCGATAAGAATAATATATGAAAATTCTATAAAAATAATATATTAAAATTCTATAAAAATAATATATGAATATCTGAAAAAACAGATTAAATATGTATGGGAAATAGATGAAAATTCCATAGGAATAATATATTAAAATTCGATAGGAATAATATATGAATATCTGAAAAAATACATGAAATATATGTCGAAAATACATAAAAATTCGATAGGAATAATACACGAATATATGAAAATTTGATAGGAATAATATATGAGAATTCAATAGGAATAATATCTGAAAATTCGATAAGAATAATATATGAATATCTGAAAAAATACATGAAATATATGTGGAAAATACATGAAAATTCGATAGGAATAATACATGAATATATGAAAATTATATAGGAATAATATCTGAAAATTCGATAGTAATAATATATGAGAATTCGATAGGAATAATACATGAAAATTCTATAGGAATAATACATGAATATACGACAATTTGATAGGAATAATATATGAGAATTTGATAGGAATAATATATGAATATCTGAAAAAATACATGAAATATATATATGGAAAATAGATGCAAATTCGATAGGAATAATATATGAATATCTGAAAAAATACATGAAATGTATGTGGAAAATACATGAAAATTCATAGGAATAATATATGAGAATTTGATAGGAATAATACATGAGAATTCGATAGGAATAATACATGAATATATGAGAATTCGATAGGAATAATATATGAGAATTCGATAGGAATAATATATGAATATCTGAAAAAAATACATGAAATATATGTGGAAAATACATGAAAATTCATAGGAATAATACATGAGAATTCGATAGGAATAATACATGAATATATGAGAATTCGATAGGAATAATATATGAGAATTCGATAGGAATAATACATGAAAATTCGATAGGAATAATATATGAATATCTGACAATTCAATAGGAATAACACATGAATATATGAGAATTCAATAGGAATAACACATGAATATCTGAGAATTGGATAGGAATACTATGGGAAGGCGCCATAGGAATGATACAGAGCGCACATGACGAGCGCACGGTAACCGCTGTCCGTGTGTCTGTGTGTCCGTGTCCATGTGTCCGTCTGTGTGTCTGTCTGTCCGTGTGTCCGTGTGTACGTCTGTCCGTGTGTCCATCTGTCCCTGTGTCCATGTGTGTGTCCGTGTGTCTGTCTGTGTGTCCGTCTGTCCGTGTGTCCGTGTGTCCATGTGTCCGTCTGTGTGTCCGTCCGTCCGTGTGTCCGTGTGTCCGTCCGTCCGTGTGTCCATGTGTGTGTCCGTGTGTGTGTCCGTGTGTCCGTCTGTCCGTGTGTGTCCGTGTGTCCGTGTGTCTGTCTGTCTGTCTGTCCGTGTGTCCATGTCCGTGTGTCTGTCCGTGTGTCCGTCCATCTGT